GTGGAAGGACGACCAGAACGAGGTTTGTCGTCAATTGACATTTCACCATTTTTGAAACGGGAAAACCACTCAAACGCTTGAGTTTTCCCCGTAGCATCGTCCTTGTACACCGTTTTTAACATTTCAAGCGTTTCTGTTTCACTTTTCCCGAGCAAAAAGCAGAATTTCACCGCCGCACGCTGTTCACGAAAATCAGCCATTGCAAAAACGACGATCACACAAAACAGTTGTCACTATAAACTCTGCCGAAACTAGTGCTTACCTTCTGAAGCAACGGTAGTCGGCTTATCGACTCAGGAATGTTAGCTCTATGCGCTCATAGCGGCAAAACATGGTACTACAAGAGCTCTGCCCACAAAAAAATTCGTTCGGTTTCTTTTGGGTACCCCATCGTAGTAATGCCTGTTATTCTGGTAATGTTGTATCCACATTTTAGTGTAATTGCATGCATGCATGACCATTCAGTTGGCAGGATGTGGAATTAGAATTATAATTTATTTACTTTCTATAGATTGCTTCTAAAATTGGAGTGCAATGAGACAGTACATCAGGTATTCATAGACTTCAAGAAAGCAGTTAGGAGGGAAGTATTGTACAATATTCTGATAGAGTCTGGGATACCCATGAAACTAGTTAGGCTGATTAAAATGTGTTTAAACAAAATGTATGTTAAAATCATATAGGTAAACATTTATCTGATGCCGATGTCAATTCCAATGATCTGAATCTACTGGGTGTTAATATAGATACGATAAAGAAAAATACACAAACTTTAATTGATGCAAATAAGGAGGTTGGTCTAGAAGTAAACACAGAAAACTAAGTATATGTTGTAAGATTTGAGGTAAATGTTGCTGTCTCATCACCAAAATTTAGTGCAAAATCATGACATAAAGATAGGAAACCGATCTTTTGAAAATGTGGCACAGTTCAGATATTTGGGAATGACAATAACAAATCAAAACCTGATTTAGAAGGAAATTAAGAGGAGATTGAACTTGGATAATGCTTGCTACCATTCAATCCAGAACCTTTTGTCTTCTCATCTGCTGTCCAAAAACATAAAAATTAGAAAATACAAAACTATAATTTTGCCTGTGGTTCTGTATGGGTGTGAAACTTGGTCTCTGATGTTAAGGGAGGAACATAGACTGAGGGTGTTTGAGAACAAGTTGTTGAGAATATTTGGACCGAAGAGAGATGAAGTGACAGGAGGTTGGAGAAAACTGCATAATGAGGAGCTTCATAATTTGTACCCTTCTTCAAGTATAATTAGAATGATCAAGTTAAGGAGGATGAGGTGGACAGGGCATGTAGCACAAATGGAGGAGATGAGGAATGCATATAGGTTGTTGGTGGGAAAGCCAGAAAGAAAGAGACCACTGGGAAGACCAAGGCATAGTGGGTGCACAGTATTAAAATAGATCTTAGAGAGATAGGATGGGATGGTATGGATTGGATTGATGTGGCTTAGGATAGGGACCAGTGGAAGGCTCTTGTGAACATGGTAATGAACCTTCGGGTTTTATAAAATGCTGGGAAATTCTTGAGTAGCTGCAGATTTGGCTTCTCCTCAGGAAGGGCTCAGTTCCATAAATAAGTATGTAACAACCCAAATACCGAAAGACATTACGTTATTATTATGGCCNAAATGAACAGCTTATGGTTAGGCCTGACTGTGTGTTACACTCATATTTATTATTTCAATGCAGATATCCAACACAACAAGCAGTAATACACAAACCCTCCATTTCTCCATATAATTATTATGACTGAGATATTTGTCCCAGCAATACACTGCTGTTTCATGCCCATGAAGAGGATATCATGGCTGTGTTTGTATTCTTTGAGTAAACTCAGGTTTCAGATCATTACATCAGAAGTGCGTACTTTCCGAGTGCTTCTTCTTCAGTAGTCTAGAGGTGCATGATTGATGTGCAGGGCATATGTAGCAGAGCTGCTGTAGTAGTTTTGGTACACAGGATATATTGTGGGCTGGGTATTTTCATGACGAAAGATGACTTTCTCTGTCAACAGGCCAGAGGATCCCTCTATACGGCTTTCTTCAGGTGCTGCAGTGTTGTGCAGTAGTGATCTACATGCTAGAAGGAGAATGCTTGTGTGCCACAGAGTGCTGTTAACAACGCCTTATTCCATGCGAGAGTTCCTCAGTTGCACTGTCACCAGTAATGAAGTATTGAATCATGCACTATCAAAGGCAGCATTGATAAAGTTGAAACATATCACATTCCCCAAGAAAAAGGGGTTCAAGGCATTGTGGTCTGTGGAGAAGTTGATGGCATTTTTAGATGGACAGAGCTTTTTCCTCTTTGAATTCCTGGATTACGGTGCAGCAGTGAATGCATACCACTATTGCACAATACTCTGACACCTAGAGGAAGCTGTGTGGATGGAACTTCATGGTTTGATCACAGGGAAAGTGATTCTATGACAGTGCTATTCCCCTGTAGTCCATACCTAAAATTACAGCCCATGATCATTTTTGTTGGTAATATGTTTACGTTGCAAATGAACGTAAAGTGACCAGATTTATAGGTTAGAATTTTGTCATGCAAATGGAGACATACTTTGCTGTAGTATGGAGGGGAATTTACTTGCGTTTGCCTGTTCTGGAGTTTTACCCGACTGCTCTTTAATTATGTGTGCATCATTGCATTTACAGGTGGAGTCCAGTGTTTCTGCTATGCTGCAATTGAGGGATGTTGAAGCAACATCAAAGAATGTGCCATTGTTTATGGATGAAGGCCAGCCTGTGCACTTGGTAGTGCAATGCATTAGGATTCCTGAGATGTGTAACCAACATTTCAGATTGTAAGTACAATATTTTTCACTCACGAGGTGTATACAGCAGGCTGTTATTACAAGCATCAAGCCTATTAGTTGGAGCTTCGCTATTGACATGACTCTTGGTGAAACTGAGATTATAGAAAATGTTTATTATTATTCAGTCAACACAATTCTGGTATAAACATGCCATGTGTGTTGCATATAGTGCAATAGTGATTTGGCCATATTACCTTGGTACTGCAACTCCTGTGTGNACATGTTTTGGCCTATTGTGACAGTCATCAGATACATAGAGCTTTTACAATCACCCTTTCTATCTGATATACCTCTCTGTACTGGCCAGTATTTACACACTGGGAGTACTCTGTACAGATATATTGTTTCTGTAATGCCCTTATGTTATAAAATGTATTAAATATTAAAATTCAACTTTTTAAAAATATTAAAATATTCTAGCTGGAGTTAAAATAGGGTTATGTTAAATGTATGTGTGTGTGTGTGTATATATATTGTGGCAAGACGCCTGATAGCCTGAATAATGGAGCCAAAGGAGACGTCTGTTGCTAAGCAGTGGTTCGGTAAGCACCGCCTGAAAGCTGGAATAGTGAAGCCAAAGCGTTGCTGTGGAATTAACACACAGTTCCCACAGCAACAGATAAGCATGCAGTAATGTGAACTGTTTGAAATGGTGATCTCTGTTTCGTCCGAAGTTATAAAAGAGAGTTAATTCAGAAATCAAGAGAGTATTTGTAAGACAGTCACTTTTGAAGGCATTCGTCAGACACTCATAAGAAGTTCAGTGTTCAGCTGTGGAGTGCTAACCAGCAGACAACGGAAGTTAAGAAGTGGTCAACTCGTAAATCAGAACCAGGTCAGTCATGCAGAAGAGAAGACACTTGTAGATCAGTAAGGAGTGGAGGAAGTCTTAGACAGTCACTGATTGTGAGCTGTTATAATTGATTGCAAATGTAAAGAAGTGCCAGTAAATCCAAACATCTAATCCAGAACCCATTATTATTAGTCAACAAAACCCTGAATATGTGGCAATATATACATATATATTTAAAAAAGCTAAATCTATCCCTGTAACAGGCCATGGAAACGCATTGTGTTGTGAGAAGTTGGGGCTCCCATATTTTTCTAGATAGTTGGCTCACAGATGGTGGTGAGGTTGTCAGTCTTCATGTTCCAGCTGCCCTTTACCCTCCAGGAAGATTCCTGATATTCACTTCTTTTAGAGGCTGAGTTGACCCCAAAGCCATAACATGGCTGGAAGGATTAGGTCAACTGAAAAAACCCAGTGACCTCATTGGAAATCGAACTCATGACCTTCTAGCTTGTAGCGTAGTTTCTGAACCAACTACATTACTGCATTCCTCCATATTTTGTTTATGTTATCATGTCCCTTTCAGTTTGTGTTGCCAGATTTTTATGTGGTGTTCACCAGTGTGCGTATGTGTTTTGTGGTATTCTTCCCATGATGATATGTTGATGTTGTGGTTATGTGTGTTGTTTTCATATTCTTTTCTTCCTTTCCCATACCTGCCCCTGTGTAGAGAGTGTGTTGTCTGCATGAATGACTGTGCAGGGAGATTTTCTCATATTACATGCAGCCTCTTCTGCTGGATAAGATGTCACATATCCTCGGTGGTGTTTGAAGCCAAACCTTAACAAATTTCAGTTCCTCAGCTTACAGGGCTTACAAATTTATTATTAAAAACAACAGCAAAAAACCAACCTTAGAAGGTTTGCATAATTTTTAAGAATGTTGCAGTCAACTGCTTATAAGGTTTTAAGCCCACACCCTTGTCATTAAAAACCTATGATATTTCCTTCCAACACCAGATACAGTTGGATAGTCTTGAGGAGATCAATTATTATATTCTATGCTTTCATTGGCCTCCTGTTGGGCAGGGGTAGAAGATCGTTGGGGGAGCTATGGGGAAAGCATCCTGCAAAATGCAGTGGGAGCTGTGGAGAAAGGACACCAGTTGATGAAAATGAGTGGGAAGGGTACACCAATTGGCAAGCAGGGATGTATAACTGGCCTTGTCTACAGAATGCCTCTGAGTGGTATAACTTCACAGTGGATGAATATCATTAAGTTGAAATTATTTTTTTAAGCTATTGGACTTACGACATTATGAGTAACATATTGTGATGAGTTATCTTATGTCCATCGCCGTGCAACAGCTACAATGGAAATTGTGGAGATCCCACAGTGACAAATCGTAGCGACAAATTGCCATTGAGTAACAACAGATGAGATGAAACACGTTACCAGTGTATAAAGAGTGTTCCCGAAGCAACGGAGTGCCGAACACAGGAGACCGAACCTTGGCGAGAGGTGTCCTCTACTGACTCCACAGAACACCTACATAAGCCGAGAGCTACAGACAGCAAGAATACAGTTGGAACGTAGTCGCCATACAAGACAGTTGAAAGATATCCGCCACAGAATACAGTTGAAGTGATAACAATTGTAAGGTGTGTAAGATTGAGTGTCCAATAAAGATTCGCTAAATCCAAGGCCCACGTAAAGTTATTTGTCACGTGCCATACCCAACACTTGACAGTATGAAAGAGTGAAGCATACTTTTATGGTACCATTATTGCTAGTGGGGTGCGACTAAGTCCCTTGTACTGTGGCCACTTCTGGCCTAGTGTACCATTTATGGTACCATAATACAGATAGATTTCCTGTAATTCCTGTAGAGATCTATTTAAGAGACTACAGATCTTAACTTTGCCTTGCAAATATATATATATATATATTCATTAACTCTTTGACTGGCGCGAAGGGTATTTAAATCCCACCCCTGTCCTGGCAGGCCATTTAAACCTTATGTCGCTAAGATGCATGTGCTTGCTTTTTTCTAAACAACTTCAACAAAAATTGGTTTTTAAAAATGAAATTTTCAGGAACTATTAAAAAGACAATATTTTATGCAATAAATGTCTTTCCATACCTTTTTAGTAGTTTTTCTTCGTGTGATAAACATTGAAACATGAAAGTTTGCAGAGAGCCACACCACAGCTTGCACACATGATACTTGTTTCTTTTCTAATCTTGTGCTTAGCACACACTCGACACTTTCTCATGGCACCATTCTTCTTATTGTTACTGGGAGGAACATGGACCATTTTGTGAACTTTCAGGCCACCCTCTAGACGATTTTCTGGGTCTTTNAAATACACATTCATTCTACTCTGTTGATGAACACCTGTTCTCTAGAAAATAACTTGCGTATCTTTACATAGCCTTGTATGTAGTCACTGTGTATTCTTGGTTTCCCTTGTGTGAGAACTCCATTGGGTCTGTACATATGTTTTGTATTTATATGACATATTCCACATCCTACAGTCATTTTGACTAACTTTGGATCAGTGGAATGCAGTGCAATGTAATGTAATGTATGAGGGGTCACAGTAGTAGATGGGAAGCCCAGTTTTTTAAGACTTCTGAATGGGAATGGAAGAGGAGGAATGAAAAGCAGGAAGAAGAGGAGGAACAGGAGATAGAGAAGAAGTGAGACATCCAAATTATAATGTAATGCAGTGATGCAGTTTTCATTGTATCTTTTACACTGCGGTGACCAGTTGCAGTAGTTAAAAGTAGAATGGTTTGTGTTACAGGTAGTAACCTTAAATAAATAGCTCAAGCGGTTAGTCATTGGCTTCCCACTGTGGCGGCCCAGGTTTGATCCCAGGTCTGGTCAAGTGGGATTTGTGGTGAACAAAGTGGCGCTGGGGCAGGTTTTCTCCGAATACTTCGGTTTCCCCCGCCAATCTTCATTCCACCGATTGCTCCACAATCACCCTCACCTATCATCCGGGGCTGGTACAATAGGCCAGAAGTGGCCACAGTACAAGGGACTTAGTCCCACCCCACTAGAATTAAAAAAAAAACTTAAATAAATCCTGAGTTCACTGACAGTTTAGTGGGATTGAATAGGTTAAAGTGATTTAATTTATGTAGATGGGAGCTCTAAGGACTCAGCAGCAGGTAGACATGGTCATCACCAGGGCCCGGATTTTGTTGACCTGAAAATATTTTAAAAAATGCAGAAAAAATTACCTAAAATGTGACCCAAAAATGTAATATGGAGGGCTCGGATTTTGATGACCTAAAAATATTTAAAAAATTGTAAAATGACCGAAAAATCCAGAAAAATGACCTGAAATATGACCCAAAAATGTAATATGGAGGGCTCTGATTTTGAAGACCTGAAAATATTTAAAAAATGACTGAAAGAATCCAGAAAAATTACCCAAAAATGTAATATGGAGGGCTTGGATTTTGAAGACCTTAAAATATTTAAAAAATGACCGAAAGAATCCAGAAAAATGACCTAAAGGAGAAAGAGAAACAACGCTTTGCTTCCATATTATTCACATTTCAGAAAACATGAAGAAAAATTCCCTAAAATGGCCAAAAATGACAAGTACCCTTAAAAGCCTAAAAATTTACCAAAAAATACCCCAAAAATAAAAAAAATGACCTTAAACCTAAAAATGTCAAAAAAATGACAAAAAAAAATTACCTATAAAATTTACATTTCTGTAACCAGCAGCTCATATCCGAGATTTATATGTTTAAGTGCATAGGATACAAGGAAAAAAAAGATGACATGTTGTCAAAATCCGGGCCCTTGTCATCACATTGTAAAGTTGTCAGGTTTATCTGTCCCCCCTCCTTTTCTCCTTCTGCCCTTTTTATGTATATGAAATGGTGGTGATCTTTTGACTGACATATGCTTAATTCCAGCTGTTTGCCACATCCACTGATTGACAAGTCGTCTGAAGTGTGCCTTATCGTTCCTGATCTCAAGAAAGGAAAGCATATAGATCATGAACCAACAGTTGAACATTATAAGAACCTTTTGGAAAAAAATAATATTACTGGAATCTCACAGGTAATTTTTCATAATAATGATACTGCCAAGAAACGAGACTGTATTAACTTGAAATTTTTTAAAGAATTGATCAAATTTCTGCACGTAATTTGGTGAGTAACATGACTGGGACCTGACATTTTTCAGGTAACAGTTTGCTATGTATTGAGAGGAATACCTTTTTGGTATTTTGTAATTATAATTGGTTTAACATATAGAGGAGATGAGATTTTGCAAGGTCTGGACGTTACCTTCTCTCTTGTACTTCTGCTTAGGGTTTTCCTGTATGTAGGTTAATGTCAACATTATGTAGGTTTTGCTTTGCCTGATAGTTCTTTTGCGCATTATGAATGCACATCATTTTTGGGAAAATCCTGAACTTGCAACCATTCAAATGGAGCATTGCCATGTTTGCTGCTAAATGTCTTTTTTTTTAATAATGGGAAAATAACATAAGTACTGTTTGTTTTTGTAAGGTGATGCCACTGAGACAGCTGAAAGTGGAATATGATCAGTATGAACTTCGCCGTCGTTTAGTGAGCCAGTTTGATTTATTCCTCTCAGATGGTCGAATTGCTGGGCACACGCTTGAGCTTCTTGGCAAGGAAGTCTATAAGAGACGGAAGTAAGTATCTTGTCTTTGGTGAGATTTCGTGTTAATTGTTAGGGATGTGGGAACAATTCAAATTTTGAACTGTTCTGCAAACTTTAAACAAAATTGTAAAATTTGAGGCTTTCACGGCAGTGACTATGAAGAAAGCAGTCTTCTGGGATTTGGCACCGTGTATATGTGGTGTTAACCGATGTTTCGGAGGAACGTATCGCCTCCATCTTCAGGGTAGAAGGAAAAAAAATATAAGAAATCCGCAAGCGAAGAGACCGTGAGAACCGGGTAATACCACATATACACGGTGCCAAATCCCAGAAGACTGCTTTCTTTAAACAAAATTGTTTCTGTTCAGGTTCAATCACAGAATACTAAATTTTCTTCCAAAACATATATATGTTTCATGTGTATGTTTTCCATTATTTAAGAAGCACACTAATTTTTAATGATGCGAAAGGTGACAGCATTGATTTAAATTTAGGTTTGATTGTTATAATGCAGTATGTATTTATTCCTACATGAGTGAAAGTGTGGGTTGAACCATGATTGCATGACTTTTTACTGTAATGAACTTCACTGTTTTTTAAAATGAGAGTTTTTCTGTCCTGAAGATGGAGGTATCAGTTTCATATTGGTATCTATTTACCAAACTATGGGGGTCACATCTCAGAAGACAGTACTCTTCAGACACCGCTATGAGAACCTCAGTTTTATGCTACTGTATTGATTCTCTTCCCTTGGACTCTATCCTTTGTCCCAATTTTATAAATGCACTGTATGTGAGAAACTAGCTCATATCTTTTATCAGATTAATAAAGAAACTGTTTTCTAGGTTTCTAAAACTAGGATGGTGCACAAGTCAGGCAGAATAGTCGAAATCAACTTGTTACTTCTGTAGGTAGCAATAATGCAGTGAGGATCTGGCTGGTTAAACAAATTGTCTAAAACTTCAAACTTAAGTTGTGCTAATTGTGACAGATATAATTTCTCAATAAGATACTTTCACGCTAGGCAACAGTCATCTTGTTACATGGATACTGTCTTCATTTAATATAACATTATGTTACGTGCCCAGTATAGACTATTGAGGTTCTATGAAATGCAATATAATGAGCTTTCATTACCAAAGCTGGAAGTAGCAGGCACTAGTATATAAATTGCAAAGAATATTGCAGCTACTGCACACGTAATGCGCTGGATTGTAATATGAATAAATGTCTCATGCTACAGTTAAATGTAATATATTGTGACATGTTGCACAATGGAGGACACCCCCTCCCTCCCCCAGCAGTGACGTGGCAGCTCTGGCCACGGTAACGTAGCAGGTGAGTCAGCACCCCCCCCCCCACGGTGATGTAACACGCAACGCCGCAATTGCTACATCCTGTAAACAACTCCCAACAGCATTGCTAGGCAACAGGCAAACACTGCGACTATAAGGGAACTACACAGCCGCCGAAGACGGTTCTCAAGTCAGCAGTGAATGAGTTCTCCAGTCAGCAGTGAACGAGTTCTCAAGACAGCAGCCAACGAGACGAGTTGGAATATAGCAGCCATCACGGAAAGAAGAACCAGATGCATGTGTGATAATCAGTGATAGTTTGTGATAACTGAGTAATAATTGGGAGTGTGTGATACAGGGACACTTGTATAGCTCCCGTATCGTAATTAATACATGTAGACTACTGAGAACAGGGTGAACAGATTATTTCGAATAGGGTTATAAAGTGCGAAACCCCGCAACAGTGTTGTAATTAATTGTAGTCAAGACTGGTAGGTTGTTAAACCAATTAACAATCCGAACGGCATCTTCAGTAACGAAACACTTTACAGTATATAAATGGCAATGATGCAATGTTGGGTTCATGATAGTAACGTGGACAAGAGATCCCCTGCTTTTTACGTGATAGCATCAGGTTGCCATGAATTTAAATGCTCTATTTTTGTATCATGCATTTTTGTTGATGTTTTATTTTATTTATTTATTTCTAAGTTTTAAGTCCTGAATGAAGTAAATAATAAAATGAAATAACCTTAACTGTTTCCATTGCAGGCTGCCAGTTGCAGTGAATATGAGAGCAAAGAACCTGAGGATTGAATTTGAAAAATGTCTTAGCAAGACGCTAATGATGATGAATGCGCACGGAAATAAAGCGGCTCTCAAGGTATGGCACAGTTTCCCAGACAAATAACTCACAAATTATGAGTGTTTAACTTCTGGTATGTCACACTAGTAAAATGAATTATAGAATAATTGTTCCCACCATCCAGTGTTAATCAATTTGTAAATATTTATTGCCTTTACGTGTTCTGGTCAGCTGACCATGTTCAGAAGTCATAAAATTCAACATGTTCAGGAACTCCTATTGCAAAGTTCATAATACATACTTAAAAGTTTTTATGTAAGTTATTTGCAATTATGTGGATTAAAATCTTGTTGATTTCTAATATTGAAGATCTCGAACCGGTATGGTTTTTGTCCTTTTGCCTCTTCTGTTAAAACGGAATGTTGGGGTATTATTTAAGAGTCCTCAGATGTCCTCGCAGTGATGCCCCATTTTTTTAGCTTGTTGTGGTTCTGTATTGGTGTGATGTCTAGTTGTTTCCGTTTTGCTGTACCTCAGAATACAGCAAAAAGGAATACATTCCAAGAAGAATCATTACATACATTGTACCAGTAGACAAAATTACAGAAAGGCAAGGCACTGATGTTATGTGTATGCTATAAGAGCCTATTTCTTCCTCCACTACAAGACAACCTAGATCACAAACAAGGTAACAGGTCTTCCCATCATGTTAATATTGCCATATATGTTTTATTTTGTAATACAAGTGATAAAATATTCAAGAAGACTGAAAGGTGCATTTATTGTCTCCCGTCAGCCAACTGTGTCAAGAATATTCTTCAACTATTCAAGTCTTATCCATTTTGAGTCATGTGTCATAAGCCAAGCAAGCTACAAGCATTGTAATTCTGCTTGTTTGGCTCATCTTTGACCCTGAAAATAGAGGCAGTCCTTTCCTCCTAAATGCTGATAAACCCCCCCTCAGACTAATGGTATCACATTCCAGAAGATTGTACTTCTATTTTGACTGAGATTTTCCTCATTTTTCCCAGGCAGATGATAGGATACTACCTTCAGACAGTGTGGTTACCTGTTCATAATTCTTACCCATCCAACATTTATTATTGCTTTATTTCATTTGACAATAGGTGACCAGTACTATTGCTCTGTTTACAGTGTATGTAATAGTTGCACCATTGGAACTTCCAGCAGTAAGGGTGAGGGCATTGTCATTTCCTCAATTTGTGCTGCTCCATTCAGTAACATGTGTTCAGCTTAGGCTGATAACAATTCTTGGAAATTGCGGTTGCCAGTTTCCTTGGTGTGCCCTCACCCTAAGGCACTGTTCTTCCCATTTTCTGTATGATCCATTGTAGCAGCACAAGTCCAATTGAAAATTCTTGTATAAGTTTATAAAAGGAATGAAACTTTGAGAGCAGCCATCAGGAGTAAGTAAATTGAGGTTCATTTCAAGTTTTAATGATCAGATGGACAGACCAAGAGATACAAGTACCATATAAGCACTTTTCTTCAGAATATTGAGAAAAATTTTAACTTCTTGTGACATAAGCCATATTCATTAATTTGATGTTTCTTTAAACAGGTTGGACACACAAAACAGTCAGTAAAGCAGATATCAGAGAACATCATGGCTGTTGCAAAGTGTCTGGCAGAACGCTATCCAGGAGGGTGGGACAACATCCGTTCACTGCATATTCACTTGCAAGATTCCCCGCTCATACCCATATATATTTCACTCAGTAAGTGGATGACAGCAGTGTGGTAAAATCTCATTACAACATATTTGACATTAATGTACAGTTTATTAGTCCCCAGCCAAAACCCACAAACTAGAAATATCTGTCAGTGCCTTATTGTGGCATAGATTTCATCATCAAGCACTACATTTTGAGAATACATGTAGCATTTCTTTTTAATTTTAACGAGTTTGTAGAATAATTTAAAATAAGAATTCATCAGTTTTGCAGAGCAGAACATTGTTTTGGCACAACAGAAAACTTTGTTTATATTCTCTTTTTACAAATAATTGGAAGAATTTTTTATTGCAACCCAATTGTAGGGATTTGTATTGCTTGCCATAATATTACTGTCAAGAGACAAGTGGTTGGCACAGTGTGCTGCTGATCTGAGGGTGTCTGTTGTGTTTAAAATATTTTTGCAAATGAAATTGATGGATTCATTCTGTGAAAAATATTATTTAATTTTCTTAGTCATATTTTCTTTTCATTTATTTTTATTATGCCATATTGATATAAATTTTCAGTATTATCTAGAAAAAGCCCCTTGAAGTATGTAGTAGTGAGACTTTACTGTGCTATACATATATACTTTTGAAATTCTACAATATAGAATTATGTCTGAATATAAGATACAGCATCTTTCTAAGACAAAAGAGCTCCCATCAGCATTCAGATTATCATATCATTAGAGAAGAATACATTGAGACCTCCATTTAAGTATTCTTACAGAAGGTCACGGGTTCAAGTCCCGATGAGGTCATTGGATTTTTTTCAGTTGATCTAATCCTTCCAGCTGCACTATGGCCCTGGGGTTGACTCAGCCTCTAACAGAAATGAGTACCAGGAATTAATTAAATAATTTTCCTGGAGATTAAAGCGCGGCCAGCACGTAAGGGTGACAACCTTATCGCCATCTTTGAGCCAATTATGTAGGTAATGTGGGACCTTCAACATCTCACAATCCTATGGGCCTTCACGGCCTGTTACAGGGATAGCTTTACTTTGCTTATACACTCAATGGATTTGGACACTAAACTGAAAGAAATCTTAAGTGTAGGTAATTGGGCACTGAGATTATTGGCTACAGATCAGTGAAATTGAACACTAAATGATGAAAAGCTTAAAATCATGGAACATTAAATGGGGATTTAACTCTATTTACTCTGGTCCATCACTCTAATAAACTAGATTATAGAATAATTGTTAACACCATCCAGCATGATTCAATTTGTAGATGTTTATTGTCATTACATGTTTTGGTCAGCTGACCATGTTCAGAAGGCATAAGATCAACATGTTCATAATACACACTTAGAAGTTTTTACATAAAAAGTTACTTACAATTATTTGGATTAATCTTATTAAAATTGGGAGGGATATACCCCATAATGTAGTATATAGAATTACCAATGGCATTCTTTTCAGATTAATATTAAGCTTGGTTAAAAATGGGAGTAAAGGAATGTAAATTAGTGAAAGTATCCCAAACCAAATATCATCAAAACCTATGGAAGAGCCTATGGGATATATGAAGAAGTCCAGTTATTGCTATGGATAATCCTTCCAGCCTTATCTGAGGAAGCTAATGAAGTTTGATGTGTGAGAATGTTAGGAGGTTTTACCTTCTGTCTGCATTATGTTTATCCAATGATAACTTGAATCCAAGAATTTCATTTGTATGATAGAATTTGTCCTTTTTTCTTTTTAAGAGAGCAGCAACGAGGTGGCTGTGCCTGTTGTGAAACCTGTCATACCAAAGAAAGCCAAACCTGTTGAGGGAGAGCTCACGACATTCCCAGGAACCCATGTCACAGTGATGCCCAGTGGAGAGGTGATAGTGAAGAAAATGGAACGGACAAAAGAGGACATTGAGATGGGTCTCAGTGACTCTGACTGGGAGGAATACAACTCTGATGAGGAAGTAATAAGTTGCTTTTATGTTTTCTATCCTTGGAAATATAGCCTTTTAACAGTGAACTGTTACTGTAAAAAATTATTTGCAAGTATTTTGATATTCTTTTTCTATATAATCCTGTATTTTTTTACAAGCAACTTGTTCTGCTTGCTACATGCTTCATGGTGGTTTCTTGCTTGGCTTACTCTTCACCCCTGAAGATGGAGTCAGTATGTTCCTCTGAAACGTCAGTCAGTTTTTAGTGTACTATGTGTTATATTCCAAAAGATAGAACACTTCATAAGCACTGCTGTGAAAACCTCAAATTCTACCTACTTCATGAGTTTAAACATGTATTATGTATCATTATTTATTTTCCTGGCATAAATATATGATACTTTATTACCTTACCATTTTTTTTTTATTTACATAATATTAGCAATCAGAATTACATTTGATTCTATCAGCTAATTTGCTATAGTATTCTTCGTGACGTGGAGAGGGCTTATCCAGGGATAAGTCCTCGTTAACCCTCTCTCAGGTCAGTTGGCCAATTCCTTTTTAGTCTTCATCCATTGTGTGGTTCCAGTAATGGTTGAATTAGTACGTTCTCATGTCCTTCTATTTTGTTGAGGTATCTTCTGCTTTTCCCTTTTATGACTCCCTTTACTAGCTTCACTTTCAGGTCTTCATGGAGTGTTATATTGGAAACACACCATGGGGTGTTACTAATCATACATAGTATCTTTGACTGACATCTTTGGATTATGGAAACATTGGTGTTACCTTACCAGTGACTAACTATACTGTCAGATTTCTTTTTACTCATTCATAAACATTTCACCTTATACATTGACCAGCATTGCCTTACGTGTTTTTCTTACACTTTTTGGAGTATGTGTCAGTATGTGTGGCTCAGCAGCCTGAAGCACGTATGCATGAGAAAAAGAAACCGGAAGTATACATTAATTATCACAATGATACACTTTAACAAACAAAATGGGTATGAATTCAGATAAAATGGGAATAAATTTCACTTTTTGATTAAAATAGCAAGAAAAATTACATAACAAAGCATTTTTCCAGGAGAGAGAACACTTTTAATTTTATGCTTGTATGTGGACTTATCGGGGGCACTATGCTACAAGCCGGAAGGTCGTGGGTTCAAGTCCTGATGAGGTCATTGGATCCATCCAGCCACACTATGGCCCTGGGGTCGACTCAGCCTCTAACAGAAATGAGTACCAGGAATTAATGAAATAATTTTCCTGGGGGAGTAAAGTGCGGCCGGCGCGTAAGGCTGACAAGTTACCGCCATCTTTGAGCCGATTGTCTTAGATAATGTGGGATCCTCAACGTCTCACAACACTATGGGTCTTCACGGCATGTTGAATGAATGAATGTATAAGGGGTGGGCATTCTTGGCCCTTGCGCTGCGACCACAGTGATCTGTTGTGCCTCCCCTTCTGATTATCCCCTCAACAATCCTGCACTTCGAATGAAGCGCTGGATCTTATATGTGGGGATGTCGAAATAGTCGCTTGGTTCCATAAAGTACTGACCCAAGTGGCCCAATATTAAACAAGCTAAGGCCTCACATTCGCACAGGATATGTGTGGCTGTTTCGTTTTCTTCTTGACATGTCTCACAAGTAGGACTATCACTTAGTCCCAGTTTGAACAGGTGTCCTTTAAGGTGACAGTGTCCTGTAAGTAGTCCCACCACCCATCATAGCTGGTTCCTGTTTAACTTCAACAGTTTCTTTGCTCGTTTAGTAGAGGGTCCTCGTATGAGTTCACGGCCTGTTACAGGGATAGCTTTAGTTTCACGTGGACTTTCAAAAAGAACAAATACTTCTTCAATGTTCTCTGTCTTATAACTTGTCCTGTTACTCGCAGGAAATGAGCCTTTGCTTATACTTCAAACAAAACATGTAAAATTGGTATTATCCAACAGTAATGCAAATGTTTGATGCATTTTACACAACAGTGGCATTAGACTTTTAACAGTCTTCTTATCTGCAGTTATGTCGTACTATATCAGTATTTGCAATATTATGTTCAGTGTAAAACTTTTTTTCCTCTCCTGTTACTTTGTTTTTGAAACTGAGTAAGTCATGATTGATGAGATACTGCCCTGTTTTTTTGTTTTGTTTTTTTTTTCTTGGGGTTGGGGTGAGACTTTGAGTCCACTTGGTACATCGGCCACTAATTGGTCTATTGTACCAGCCCTTGATGATGGATGATGACGTATGTGGAGCAGTTGGTGGAATGAGAATTGGCAAGGGAAACCAAAGTACACAGAGAAAACCTGCGCCAGTGCCAGTTTGTCCCCCACATATTCCACATGACCTGACCTGGGCTCAAACCAGGGCCACTGAGGTGGGAAGCCAGTGACTGACTGAGCTATGGCACAACCCTTGAGATGCTACCCTAAGTCTTTGACCTTTTGCTGTACCTAACTTAATAAGTAGTAAATTTAATTAAAGTGTAATGTATGAAGGATATTGCCTGTTCTGTTCTGATAGCAACAGGATACAGCATATTAAAATGCTGTGGCCAAAAGATTAGACCAATATTAGTCTTGGCCGCGCCATAGTTCAAGCAGCTAGTCACTGGCTTCCCACCACGGCGCCCAGGTTCGATACCAGGTCTGGTCAAATGGGATTTATGGTGGACAAAATGGTGTTGGGGTGGGTTTTCTCTGAGTATTTAAGTTTCCCCTGCCAGTCTTCATTCCACCAAATTCTCCATCATCATAATCGCCCGGGGCAGGCAACAATGGGCCAATCAGTGGCTGCCATGCCAAGTGGACCCAGTTGGACTCCACCCCCCCCCACTATGCAAATTAAAAAAAATATTAGCCTTGATATATACAAAGAAATGCAATTCAGTTACTCAATATGAGTTTCAGCTGCCATGTAAATTTTATCTTTTCTAGATGGATGTAGGTAGTGAGGATGAAGTTCCTACAGTCAATGCAGATGAGAAGACAAAAGTAGAACCACAGCCTGACCCAGAAGAAGGACAGGACTCAGAAGATTCAGATGATGGAAATGAAGAAACAGTTGAGGCTGCAGAAGATGCTTATCTCAATGAGTGGACAAAGCAGTGGAATGCAAATGTTGAAGTTAGTAATACGAGAAAAGAAAGAGGAGTGAGTAGTTACTGTTAACCCCTCCCCCATTATTTGTTCATCATGTGGCAAAAATAATGCAGAGAGAAACCGCAAGTTAAGTGGTTCTTGATTTCTCTTGAGAATGTTAGTACTTGAAACAGAACAAGAAGAAGTATAATGAAAATAAATTATAAACTAGGTAGGAAAGTAGCCTACCTTAATTAATTTTTTTTTATTTGCTTAGTCGGGAGTGGAGTCCAACTGGGTCCACTCGGCACGGCGGCCACTGATTGGCCTATTGTACCTGCCCCGAGTGATTATGATGGTGGAGAATTTGGTGGAATGAAGATTGGCGGGGGAAACCGAAGTGCTCTGAGAGAACCCGCCCCAGTGCCACTTTGTCCACCACAAATCCCACTTGACCAGACCTAGGATCGAACCTGGGCCACCGCGGTGGGAAGCCAGCAACTAACCTGCTTGAGCTATGGCGTGGCCAGGCAGCCTACCTAAGTTCAAGATTAAAACTGAAAGTAAATATGAACCACATCTGGTGTTTGCATGGCACAGATAAGTAGGAACAATGTACGGGAAATCCAAGAGAAAAAAAAAATATAAAGGCACTTTTAATTTGCCTCAAATTTGATGATCACAGTGCTCTAAAATGGGACAGAGGAAATATGAGCCTTCCATCTTTTATTCCCAGATGGTTTTGATTCTCTTAAACAGGGGAAAGACCTGAAGGAAGGTGAATGAGTATTAATGATGCACATTCTGGGCAGCCATTGGCTGTAACTTGTATTGACAGTAAGTAGCAGACTCCAAGGCCATTATTCCTCTACCATCAGAGATGTGTGGATTTGCAGAAAACTTGAACCAGTTTGATTTTAACATGCAGTGTGCACATATTTTGTTAAATTTTGTTTACAGATTTGTAGTCCATTTGCAATACAAATAAATGAGGTGGGTAAAGAAGGAATACACATACTGCAGCGCCATTAACATGTTTCTTTTACAGTTAGATTATTTCTGTATAACATGTCAGTATCAAGTAACATCATGGCTTTGGTGTATATCAGATATTTTTAACAAAATATTCCAATACGAAATCCAGTGTACAAAATGTGAACTTGTAAATTATCATTTGTAATTCTTGGAACAAATGTTCTAAGTTGAGATTAGTTGGAGTCACTTTTACTATTCTTTATAGTGATGGCATTTTAATTTGAAATCTTATGTGTTCCAAATTCATTCAGAAGCTTAATACAATCTGAATTTCTTGCTGTTTTCCTAACTGTATTTAATCTAAAATAAGCAATAATCATGTTCATGAATTGTTTGTAAATTCTTGAATGAGGAAATTATTGTGATAAAATTTTTGTAGCTGCAAAGTGCTTTACCAATAGGAATATTGTCTTGGTCTATAGTTTATAATGCAGTTTTACTTAACATTTCAGTAGTTCACATACCTCTGATGTGTGTCTTTGTAGATGGTATGTTTGATAAATGATATAACCTCCGTCTCAAGTGCAAACAATATATTCTTGTGTCTTTGATCTTGCTCCCTACACTACATGTTTCGGCCTCAGACGGCCATCATCAGGTGTATAACACTCACGTCGCTGTCACACTGCACCCAGTTCAAAATTTAACATCTAAAACACTCTCCCTGTCATTATCAACTTCTACTTCGTTGATAGCTGTCCACCCGTAGATTACTTCACACACGTTAATTTTGTGTTTGTTGTAATAGCACCATAATAAAATCTTTAGTTCTAATTTTAAACTTTTAAATTCTTGTCCAAATTTTAAAATTCTTAGCTATCAACGAAGTAGAAGTTGATAATGACAGGGAGAGTGTTTTAGATGTTAAATTTTGAACTGGGTGCAGTGTGACAGCGACGTGAGTGTTATACACCTGATGATGGCCGTCTGAGGCCGAAACATGTAGTGTAGGGAGCAAGATCAAAGACACAAGAATATATTGTTTGCACTTGAGACGGAGGTTATATCATTTATCGTATGGAGTGCAACAGGATGCTTAAATATAATATGGTATGTTTGATGTTTGTTGTCAAGCCATAAATGATGCACAGCCTATGACTTGAGTCATTAATGAATGCATCATCCAGTGATAAGTGTACCAGATTATTATTGCTGGGTTTATACAGAATCTTAATGAATTCAAAAGTTATTTTCTTTCACGTCTGTATGACTAACATATTTTCTTATTTCTTCTGCTATTCACAGACTAATAATGAAGCAAAAGAAGAACCTGAGAAGAAGAAACGAAAAATTGTCAAGAGTAAAAAGGACAAACAGAAAGTAACAGAAAGCAAAATTAAAACATTAGGAAGGAATAAACAAAAAAAGAGTATTGCAATAAAAATTATGGAAAAGTCACAACCAGACTCAAAGGTACAGACTTTTGGACTTCCACTTTAATTGGAATTCAGGAATATATGTCATATATTAACAGAATTGTCTAAAGATGCATTGTTTAAAAAATTCAGTTAAATTATTTCATGCATGTGATGCACATCCAGAAATCCCTTTTAATTTGCATGCCTCTTCCAGTAGTAGACAGCTGATCTGTGTAGTCATGCCAGCGTTGCCATTATGACCTCTTGATATCTGATACACTACTGTATTAATGGTCAATTGACAGGCTTTGTAAAAGCTGTGATGAACCTTTGGGTTCCATAATGGCAGAGGATTTCTTGACAAGTTGATTGACTATAAATTTTTTTGAAAAGACCCTGTACCATGCATCGTACTTCATCCAATATTTTATGTCTGCATCTGTAGTTTATATAATATTAGGTTTAATTATCTGTAATTAATCTTAAAATATTGTTCTAGGCTTAATGAAGGTATGGAGAGCTGCCCATACAACGACTGGATGTAAAGTTAATATGGTTAATAGAGTGACAATATGAACGCTGTTGTTTCTCTCACCACTACATGTTTTGTATCTCTTGATCATCTTCAAGTGGTTTTATGAACACGTGCGTGGTTATCAAACTGCAACTAAAATGAATCCATTTTACAATTAAAATGTTTTTTGTAAAAATATCCACGTATTAAATGTTAAGATGTAAAAACCCCTTAAGAGGTTAGGGTTGTCATTGATTATCGAGAACCTTGGGTATTGCTGAATGTCTAACACATTTTATGTGAAAATGGACCCATTTCAGTTGCACTTTGGCAACTGTATCTATTCATAAAACCACCAGAGGATGATCAGTAGACTGAAACATGTTGTGGTGAGAGAAACAGTAATGTAATATTACCATTTTATTAATAGTATTAACTTCATATTCAGTTGTTGTATAAAGGGATATACATACCTTAATTCTGTTTACACAACAGGATGTAAAGAATCAAGTTAGGATTAATTATTTGTGCTAAAATATTGCAGGAACCTAAACTATCCAAGAAAGACAAAACTGAATCAATTGGAAGTCTGGGTTTACCAAACAGGAAGTCTGCTCAAAATAAACTTAATAAGGGACAAAAAGTGCATAAAAAGGGGCACAAGAAGACACTTTTGACCAAACTAGCTAAGAAGAAGCTGAATGTGTGGAAGACAGAGCAAATTTCTCAAAATGATGCTGCTGTAAAATAATGTACTGTAAGTGTGGTTAATTGATGATACAATAAAATATTTTAGACATGATTCATGACCTTCTGTATAGACTGTTCAGTGGGGTATGAGCTGTAGAGCAGTACCTGTGGCTGTGCCTCTAGCAGGCAATGTTTTCTGCTCTCATACAGCTCAGGTTCTGCCAGACTGTTTGTACCAGAATCTGTGTATAAAGCATGCAACATTCATTTTTGGAGTTGTGTGTGTATAGTCCAGCAGTAATGTCTGTCTCATTTACCCTTCAATTGGAGAATCAGCTGTTGTTATTCAGATGTTTCTGTCATTTTCTTCTGTGTCTTCAAATGAAAGCCAGAGGTTTTTTTTAAGCTAGTGGTGTGGGACTATGTCCCTTGTACTGTGCCCACTTCTGGCCTATTGTACCAGCCCCAGATGATAGGTGAGGATGATTGTGGAGCATTTGGTGGAATGAAGATTGGCAGGGGAAACCAGAGTACTCGGAGAAAACCTGCCCCAGTGCCACTTCATCCACCACAAGTCCCACTTGACCAGACCTGGGACTGAACCCGGGCCGCCACAGAAAGCCAGGGTTAGTGCTAAAGTAAGGTAAAGTTGTCCCTGTGCTTAACTAATTAACCCTTTGACGTGGTGATTTAAATTCCGCGGCTCCTGCGGTAATATATTCAGCCGGCCATTTAAATTTTGCTCGAAAATTATTTATTCATCATTGTTCTTAAATTCTATGAGATAGGAACATGAAACTTTCACTAAAATGATCTTAAATGGTGGTTTTATAACCTTACCTTATAATATGGGCGCCCTGTATCTCGGCCATGGAAGCAGGTTGTTTAGTATTTCAGCAGTGAATGGTACGCCTTGAAGGATGAAACTTTCACTAAAATGATCTTAAATGGTGGTTTTATAACCTTACCTTATAATATG